CAAACTATTCATAATTCGTCCACACGAACAGCCCGCGAAGGCCCAATTCGAATCCACCCAACCACTCCTTTATCCTCCACGAAAGAGAGGCAGGGCAAGGAGACGAGGTTAGGGTTTCAGGATGGTGGTACCCTAGAAGATGGCTGCGCGATGTACGATGGGCCCAGACAGGAACCTTTGATTCATCGGCGGCATTATGTACTCGTCACAGTCCACCTCGTTACTCCTCACGTGCCTTCTATCATGGACAAAATCCTCTCCTGGCCTCTGCATCATCGCAGGGCTCTGTTGGCGCGAGGAACCCTGCGACGCGTAGCCTCGTCGCACATTACACTCTGCGACAGGTTGCGATTCGCAAGAGCAGCAGCTGATCATGCCGTTGCAACTCCGGCAGATTTTCGAAGGAAACTGAGTACCGAAGTCAGGTGAAGGCGACGCGGTCCGCTGAAACTGACGAGAATTCCCGCGACCGGAGTAGTCACCCCAGGTGATTTGCGACGGAGCCTCCCATGCGACGCCCTCAAAGTTTTGCGCAAATCCTGCGTGCGCGCGTGCGCCGGCGCTTGTGTTCCGCGACTGCCGGTGTCCAATCCGCGTGTCCGTCATCATGTACAGCTTGCTGTCCACGTCAGCCCAGTCCTGCGCTGACTCAGACTCACAGAATCGAATCTCGGCCGTGACGTCATCGCGCTCTAAACTCGGCCCACATGAGGAATTGGCCGTGGGAAAAACAGCCTTCTTGCCGGGGGAGGTGAGGCGCCGCAGGCTCCGCGGCTTGAAGTGCGCGAGCGTCGCGAGGACCTTCGCTTTGAGAGACGAACCTTCGGACTGAGAAGACAACGGAGGGGTGCGACTCGAAGCGGCTGGGGTCGCAGAATCCGCGCTGTAATCGTCTTCGTCAAGGGCAGCGATCTGTAAAAAGCGGAGGATAAACAAAGCAGAATCTCACCGTGACGTTAGATCCGAGCGAGGAAACTGCAAGGAAAACATTTCTATATTGCACTGAATTCACGTGACACAGGCTTACATCGGCAAGGAAAGGATTGGCCGCTGTGGTGGGCGATGGTCGGGGAGGGAGCCTGTGTTCGCGCTGGCTGGTAACACTCGACACGGACGACGTTGGCGAAGGGAAGATGGACGGCGTTCTGCTGTGGCGACCCTCCCCACGATGTGGCGGCAACTCGATATTATGCTTCGCCGCGTAATCCGCTTGAGGGCGACCGCTGCCTTTCAGGTTACGGCTCCCGCTGTAAGTCTTGGATTTGTATAACGCGGGTTGATCACTGTCGTCTTCTCCGTCCTCGTTCCCAACCTCTCCGCCTCGGCCCGAACCAAAGCTGTTGTGTCGGCCCGAGCCGAAGCATTCGCGGGTGATGAAGCTAAAATCGAGGCTCTCCTCGCTGCGCGCGCTGCAGCAACCCGGCGACGACACACGCGTCGGTATTTCCAACGTGCCCGCGGCGCTGCCGTGTTCGTCCCGGTGATGAAACGACTCGTTCGAATCTCGCTGAAAGGGCCCGTCTCTCATGAGCGGGATCTGGCCGTCGCTTGCGGCGCCGTGGGGGCTTCGCGGGGGGAGATGCGGCGACACGCCGCGGGAGCGAGACGCATGGGAACCGTCCCTCGAAGGGGGCGTTAATGGCGGGCGCGCGGCGGTCGGTGCACGCTTCGGCGTGAGGAAATAGGTCTCCCCTGGCACGAGCGGAGTGTTCGGCGCGACGAGCGCTTCGAGCGATGAGAGGTTCATGTGGGGATATTCTGAGAGAACGGTCTGGGCTTTTAGTTGCTCGCTAGAGTCTGCCGGCTTGTCAAATAGACGGATGGATCCGTCAAGGAGCATGACGATGACGGACTCCTGCTCGACAGAGTTCGGCAGGCTGACTCGTGGCTTGCTGGAAAATCGCGCCGCCATGGCTCCGATTGAGGTCATGACTAGATGCGGTGGGGTTTCGATTTAAGACGATAGACGCAGCGTTGCCTCTGTGGCACTAATCCTCGGGGAGCCCTGGTCCTCGTGATCAATTCTGCTGTGAAAGGTAAGTGAGAGGGTAAGGAGTTCAAAGGTATTGTACGGTCATGGCTTCACTTAGCTCGACTGTTTCTCCAGCGACCTCGAAAACGCGTGACAGGCTGGAAACACGGAGGCGCAAGGATGATTTGATCATCCCACTTCTGACCAACCGCACCCGCTCCAGAACAGACAAAGCAGTGTGTTGGGGGGCCCAGCACGCGCCGAAACGAAACCCACAAGGATGATTCCAGCTGGTGCCTTTTTTTTTCCACGAGTTGAGTGTGTTCCACCATCTGTAGCCAGCAACTTCCCTTCCCAGCCAGATTTGTAGGGGGCATTGGACAGCTGTATTTTTGAATAGCACACTGTGATTTTTCCCTGAAACCGCCACGTTGGGGGACACATTACGCATTGAACTGGGAGGCACACCGTCGGCTTCCCCAAAAAACCGCGGATGTTAGTGTTTTGTTCGAATCCCTCTCATTCTGGCGCACCTCGCGGAGAATGACTATGGACTCGATGGAAGTCATCTGTCTGTACCCCCGCTTATTTTGCGCTGTCCTTGCCTAGCATCGCTCAGGGCGTGTCTGAAGTGAAACGTTGTCATCGACTCCTCGCCTTCTTCGCAGGCTGCAGCACTATTGCGGGCAGGCATTCTGCTCAAACATTGGTGACAGGCTTTTCAAGTCTTCTCTCGTGTCGTGTCCAATTATATGCCAGCGAGAAAGTTGCACAGCGACACGAAAAGGGACCAAATCAAGCTCGTTGCAACCGTTGTTCCTTCTGAACAATCATTCTTCGCTGTGCTGGCCATAAGTTTATACCAGGCCTGTCGCTTGCAGGGCGTTTGCCCTGCTGGACCTTGAATTCCAGGGCTGGGTTGCCCTTGAAAACTGAAATTGATGGGCTGAGAAAATTGTGGCCCTGATTCATTACAGGGCTGATTTCGGGCTTAGGTCTGGAGTGTTAAGGGTAGATTTTAGGCGAGCCCTGGAACAAAGTCTTTCGAACTTCCCCTCCCACTCCTCCCCCCCCCTCCCCCCCCAAACTCCTCCATTCCCCCTCCCCCCGTTTCTATTTTGATTGCATTCAAGCCTGTCAAATTTGGAGTTGCGTGGCTGGACCACAGATTCAACTCAACCAACAACTGGTACTTGTACCAATTACAACCTCGCTCCCATCCCATGACACACAGACAGTAGCATGAACCAACATGCAGCAGCAAAACACATCTCAGATCCCCGTCATGTTGTGCACCCTCAGGCCTGAATGGGCATAGCAAGCAGCAAAACACATCTCAGATCTTTGCTAAGAGTTGGAAGAGGAGGAAGTCTGTTACGCGTGCGTAGTGAATGACGCTAACTAGAATTTTTATTGCTAACTAGCTAATTTGATACTAGCGGAGTGCAGCTGTCAGCTTTGTGGTAGAACTGAGGCTGCAGAATTTTCCGCGGCAAACCTGATTTACAGGGAGGAATAAATTTCAGCCCTGAAGCCTTAAGGGCCGAGATTCGCCCCGACCCTGCTAAATACAGGGTCGTACATGCCGGGCCCCCTGATTTGTCCGGGGGGGCCAAAACGAAACGACAGCCCTGGTTTATACACATGATGCTCAGCTGCTGCGCGCGAATTTGCCCTTTACGCGCCAGAAAGTCTGCACCCGTGTATTTTGCGCCAGCTAGCTGCACCCATGATACAAGCACCCCAAGCAAGCTGTGTTGGCTATGAACCAATAGTAACCACATAAACCAAAGAATATCTGAAGAGACTGAAGTCAAAACGTCAACGAAGAGTTACAGTTTTTTTTATAAGCCCTTTTTTGCTAGGTGCGACGTTGACCAAATTTGCGAAATGACTAGAAACACTTAAATGCCCCCTTTACAAGGCAACCTTAGGTTAGTCAAACGAGCATCATGTGTACCCACAATTTATACCTGCATACACATCATCACCAACACAAAATGGTGCTCTGCGCTTCTTGGCATCGGATCGGAGCGGAGTTTTTCTGGAACCGTACAAAAGCCAACAGAGGGATGAATGTTCTGTTGGATGCTCGACAGAGTGCCACCGTCTAGGCTGTACAGTACTTACACCAGGCCAACATCCGCTGCAGCCAAGACGCTGTGGAACAGCTGCTGTGACCACAGGTACTCCTGATGCCTGTTTGAGCCCCTCCCGGTTGCCTTGTCAAGGGGGCATATAAGCTGTAACGAGGCATTTCGCTAAGTTTCGTCAATTCGCAGCTAGCTAAAAAGGATTCGCATGTGCTTATATACAAGATCTGTTACCATATTTGACTTCAGTCTATTCTGCTTGACTTCGGTCTGTTCGTTACTATTGGTTGATAACCACGCGTCGCGCTTGTAATGTAGGTGCATGAGGCTGGGGAAACAACCTCGGGTGCAGCGTATCCATCCGGCGCAAGGCAAATTCGCGTGCACGGGGTGAGCATCAGGTGTACCGCAACTCCAGCTTCGAGATGCTGCAACGCATCATAGCCCACTTGCTCATCGCCTTCAGAATTTATATCTGGAGAGGCAAACGCCAATCGGCCAAGAAGCGTCAGCGTATACACCTGATGCTCGTTAGAGCCTCTCCCGGTTGCCTTGTGAACTGGGTCTGTAATCTAAACATGCATTTTGCGGGGCATTCGTGGATTTCGTCAGGCGTCCAGCGTGCTTCAAAACTGCACATGGTAACCACCCAGTTTGTCTGTGTCGCAACAGTAAGGGATTGCAGCACTTGTCCTTGTTGTGTGTTTAGGGTTACTAAACGAATGCATCAGTACCGAAACAAGCATGCACAACAATTGTTCTTCGTAGTACAAAACAATCAAAACACAAACACCTTCCAATCAACATCCTCCACCTGGCCCATCATCTCCAGTCAACACACAAAACGAAACACGCACAAATGGGCACAAGGAGTGAACACTTGGGCTCTCAGCAAAATGCCTTCGACACCTTGCGAAGTCTGCTCCACCCCCCCCTCACAGACGCATCCACTCAGCCGCGTCCACATACCCGTCCATCACGGCGCCCACACCGGCGTCAAACAACTCCTGACGGCGAGACGGACGAGTCATCCAGCCGGGCAGCACACGGCCGTGCGGACGAGGGGTCTCGGGCGTGGGAATTGCGCCCGGGGAGGGTACGGGCTGAGGCGCCACGTTGAGGTTGAATGGCGGGCTCGCCCGCTCCATCCGCGCGATTACGATGGGGTTGCGGATATCGAACAGATGGCACAGATCGCGCGGCGTGATGCGGGTGGCCCATGCATATCCGATGAGCATCTCGCATGCCGCCCGTGCAGTGCGCCGCGCTTCGCGGCACACTGGGTCGGCGTCGTCGTAGACGGCTTGCATGGTCGTCGGCGCGTGCCAGAGCTCCACCTCTAGGCCCGCCTCCGGCTCAGTCGTGGGCTGTCCCACAGCGCCCTCGGCGCACGTTGGCTCGCCGTCGTCGATGGCGACGTACTCTGCGGCCGTCATCGCCGTATTCCCGAGGGCGAGCCCGCTAATAAGCGTCCCGCCATCGTCGATGTCGTCGTCGAGCTCGATGTCGGGGTAGACGGCGGGGGAGGGCTCATCGTCGTGTACCTGCGTCAGCTCCAGGGACCACGAGAGCGGCAGACACCCCGTGCGCCACCAGCACCGTTAATGGTGCGCGCGCCGACCGAGGTCCACGCGTCCGACAGCCACGTGAGGACATCGCGCAAGTTCGGGCGGAAACGCGCGACGGCGGAAGTCGCGCCGTCGCCGTTCCACAAAGCCGAGAAGGCTCGCAGCCAATGCTGTCGGTAGCGGGCCTTTACGGTGGCTATGATGCCTTGATTGAGCGGCTGTGTGAATGCGGTGGTATTCGGCGGCAGGAAGACGAGCCGCACGTTGCTCATGCAGGTCGTCCGCATGCCGCAGACGATCTCGCTCCATGCGAGCTCAGAGCGGAGCATGTGGCTGCTCGCGTTGTCGAGCAGCAACACGATCTTGCGACCTTCGGCGTACATCGCTGCATTGAGCTGCGATATGAAATGTGTGAATAACTGCAGGGACGAGAAGGGAGGGGAAGGCGGAACGTACATGGGAACATTGTAAGCACAAACACATTCCATACAGATTTGATATTACGCGTAATTTGTCCGCAGCAACAAGAACGGACGACACAAAAAAACACGACGAGCTTACCGGCGAGGTCATCCAGCCTTTCGCCTTGTGCCGCCAGTAGCAAAGGGATTCAGGGTCATAATCCGGACGAAAGTCATGCGGCCGCTTCGCCTTACTGATCATGAGCGGTCGGAATACGTGGCTCCCGTCAGCATTCACGAGGAATGCCACGGTGAGCCGCTCCTTCGATACTTTGCGGCCGGGAATGTGGCCGTTGCTGTAAGTGCGCCGAGGGAGGACTGACAGCCAGAGCGCCGTCTCATCGAGGTTGAAAGTGTCCCGCGGGGTGACACCGAGATGCGTGAGGAGTTGCGGCAGCTTCTCACGTGCGTGGCGCACGGCGGCCATGTCCGCGCTAGCCGCCTTGCCTTGTGCTGCACGGCACCTCACTCCCTGGCGCCTCAAAGCACGGCGCACCCAGCCGATGGAGCAGCGGAATGAGGGCGGAATGCCCATGTTCCGGGACATCGTCGCGACATGGTCGTGGATGGTCTGCAGCGTCAGAGGCACGCCAGCGGGCCCTGCGTTTGCGATCCACCGCGCCATGGCCTGCTCCAGCTCAGGCCATGCGCCACCTCGACGGCGCACTTGGTTGTTGCCGGTTGCCGTGACAGCCCATCGCTCGGCGAGCTTCAATATGCGGCCGACAGTGGAGCACCACCTCGCCAGGTCAACATGACGCAGGCGGGGGTTGTCGACGTGGTGCGCGCAAATAGCGCGCTTGATATGGAGCGGGAGCTGCTCCCGTCGATTAAAGCGGGGCATTGTGAGCGGCTGGGGTGTGAGAGAATGCTGACTTAGTGAATGCTGTTGTTCGATTTTTATCGTCACAGGTCGGGCGTGCTGGGCAAAGCTGGGGCCTGTTCTTTGTTGCATGTCACATTTGTGTGGTTGGTGTTCGTTCCATGCACATGGCTTGCATTTTCGATCATGTGGTTTGGTAACCACACCCTCGAATGTCTGACGTGGGGTGGGCGAAGCACGCCTGGCTGGTAATGCGCTTGTACCTTGCAAGTCCCGAATTACACGTGGCAGCGTGTATCTAACCAAATGCCTGTTACACGCACGATGATCCTTGCTTAGATGGCGGCCTAGATGGGCGAATGCGTTCACGAAACCATAGTTGTTTCGTCCAGTCATTTTGCCTCTCCGACTCCTGGCCTAGAAACAAGGCAACAGTGGGTCGGCATGGCTTGTTCGGGACTGCACGTGCATTGATGGCCGAGTCGCGTGTACTGTTGCCAGCCACCCATGTGCTTATACTGTGGGAGCAGCAAGCAGGGGTTTCCAGCTCCGGGGCAGCGTTTCCATCCGGTGCATGGCAATTTCGCGTGCACTGGTCGGGCATCATGTGTATCAACCAGCATCAAGCTAGCACATAAACTCCGCTTCCTCCTCTTCGACAGGGCCAGAACACCATCTATTCACCCCGACCTAAGATTCTCCTGGCTCTTTAAGTCCATATAAATCCATCGCATAGAGCGTCTCCCCAGACAGCTGGCGGTTGTCCGCGAGGACAAGGAATAACGTGTGTTCCATGTGCTCCGTTGCGGATGCTGGCCACCTCGGCCATGTTTCTAGACTGTTCTATGGATTAATCTTTGTACATTGATTAAGATCAATATATAACCAGGCCAACATCCAATAGACACCATAAAAACATTTTGGATCGTACGTACCACAGACTGGTCCAGTGGTCGGTGAGCTGACTGACTGGTAAAGGTAAAGGTTTTAGGGGAAACCCCCTTTGGTATTACCCCGGCTGTCGATCATAATCCGCGAGCTCACTGACAGGATGGCCCCTATGGCCTCTGTGGTTTATGTATGTACAGTGGATGCTCACCTTATTCCGTGTCCAAAGGTCATCCCATTCAGAAAAACAGTCACCCGCGAACGTTTTTGCCCGTGACTAAATTGAACATACGTCGTAGATGTTAACAGGAATGGAGTGTTGGCCCCGCCCTCGCTTGGGCAACGCCGACGACTTGGTCGGATGCACGGGAGTAGCAGCCGACTGTTCACAGTGGGATAGCTGCTCGACAGGTTACGTCGAGCTGCAGCGGACCGCTGTGGTGTTGCTGTTGACCAAGGAGCTCGATAGCTGCAACTGACTGGTCTGTGCGACGGGTGGGCAGTCCGGGAGGTCGACGAAGCAGTCCGTCGACCTGTTGTTCGACCGGGAGGTCGACACAGCATTTTTGGTCGATGGAAGGGGTCCGTTGACCAGGGGGTAGCTCGACGGGAGTTATGGTCGACCAGGAGCGCATGGTGGTCGACCAGAGGGACCGAGTGGTCGACCGGAGGCACCTGGGGGTCGACCAGGTCGACCGGGTAACCTGCTCGACGAGTTCTACGGAGGCTCGCGAACGTCGTCGAGATCGCAATGGCGCAGACGACTTTAGGCTGGTATCCCGAAGTCGATGTGGCTCGTCAGGCGCAGACATCAGTCGACGGATGCCCAACGAGGCAAGTCGGGCCAATCGTCTGCGCACACCTACGAGCGCGCGCACTGCTGCGTTCTACGGGGCACGCCGTCGACCTGCTTTGTTGGCAGGTCGCCCTTCTGCAGTGCTGGCGCGGCTCCTCTACGCAATGCTGGTAGGCGGTCGACCGAGCTGAGCTGGCGGTCGACCAGGCTAGCTGCAGGGTTGCTAGGTGCCTGATGTAGTCATTGTTGTGATTGCTTCTTAAATTATTCTGGAATTCTCAATTTTGCTAGTGAAAACTCTTGCCAATTTCTCCCTTGAATGTGCAAGCACTAAGGAACCAAGCAAAGCTACGATCAGCTCTAGCAGTTCGTGCCAACCCTGTAGTCCAGCTCACTACCGTTGTAGAGTGTATCTCTGCATGGTGCGGTGAGCGTGGATCGATCACGCGACCTTCAGATAGGAGCCGACTTTTGCACCTACGAAGTCGTTCGTAGGCCGGCAGCAGCGATAGTCGCCATGGTCGACCCCGTGGTTGATGCGGGTGTAACGGACACATTGGAGGCACGTTTGGCTGACGCGAGGAGACACCACGCGGATGGCGAGTACGGGACGATCCCCTTGGTGATCGCCGAGTTGGGCATCCGGTCGCAGTGGGCGACGGAACACCCTTCCCGTCCTACTTCTCCTCGACCGGTGCACAACGAAGGTGGCGTCGACGACGAGGTCGACGGTGGTGCACGAGTCAGCGGCAGCGAAGGCACGAGGCAGAGAGGAGTGATCAAGGTCGACGGCGGTGTCGACGGACTCTAGGCGCGAGTGCACCGGTCGACGGCGGCTGCAGGCAGCTCGCACGCCGACGTCGATGTTCGACGTCGCTCTCCTCTACGAAGTGGTGGCGGGCTCTCGGCGACGACGCATGTGACGGCGGGCGGGATTGCACCGGCGTACGACTTCTTCAAGTTTTTGCCGGATCGAATCACCGTCGCTCCGCTGCAAGGTCGACGGGACCTCATCACCTGGAGGGAGTCGATCGAACCTCAGCTGGAGGTCGCCGGGCTGAAGGGCTTCGCCGACGGCACCGTGCCAATTCCGCCCGAGGAGGATGTCGGGCTGCGCGGGGAGTTTAGTTCTGCTCACCTGCTCACCTTCATGGTCATCTCGAGGTGCTGCTCGCCAGTGGTGCAGCTGGCGCTCAGGAGCTGTCGAGAGCGACTGGATGCTGGTCACCAGGCATGGCGCTTCATCATATCGACGTTCCAGGTCAGGGACGACCTATACATCGGACAGCTAGAGGAGAAGATGACTCGCATTCGGATGGGCGAGCGGGATTCGGCGACGGATTACTGCAACCGTGCTCGACGGATCCTGGCTGAGATGCGAATGGCGGGCGCCGAATACTCGACGGCGTTCTACATCACCCACATCGTCAAGGGCTTGCCGCGCAGCTACAATCTCATGAAAAGGATGATGATGGTGCCCGGCACACGTGAGTCCGTCAACGAGGACTCCATCACCAACTACATTCTTGAAGATGAGGCGATGCAGGAGGCCGAACAGCCCACAGAGCTCCTTCCGCAGGCGAACTACGTTGCATCGACGAAGCTGAATCAGCAGCAAGGGTCGACGAGGTGGTGGTCGACGGCGGGAGTGCTGGATCTGCGGCAACCCCGACCATCTATCCTTCGAGTGCCCCGACCGCGATGACAGCGACGAGGACGACAACAAGGGAGGCCGTGGTCGATCGGCCAGTCGTCGCCCCCGTCGAGATGAGAAGCCGCGCAAGGAGAAACAAGCGTCGAAGAAGACGTCGTTGACGAAGGACGTCGATAGCTTCAGCGGCAAGAGCCGAGGCGACGGGGAGGCGTCGTGCTCGATGGTCGGCGTGGTGGAGCCGACGGTCTCGCTGGCGCCGGAGGCCGGCGAGGACTTCCAGGCAGTGGCGGCAGCTGTTCAGGCCAACCCGATGGCGGTGTTGCTCGATAGCGGGTGCTCCCACCACCTGATGGGGACGAAGTCGGTCTTCGTCGACATGGGGCCGAGCGACGGGGTGAAGCACGTGCGTGGGTTCAACGGGGCATTGCAGCCTGTCGAGGGTCGCGGAACCGTCGCTCTGCAAGGGGAGGCCGGGAAGCGGGTGCTCATCCCCGACGTGCTCTACGTTACGGGCGTTCAGGCGAACCTGCTGTCAGCCGGCCAACTGAAGGAGAGCAGAGTGCAGCTGCAGGGTGACGACGACGAGATGCTGCTCGTTGCTACGACCGGGGCGGTGCTCGGTCGAGCACGCTACACCGGACGAGTCCTCTGCACCGACCTTCGCCCCTGCTCGACGCAGTCGCCGCCGACCGGGGTGGTGGCTCTGCGGACGATCGTCTCAGCGTTAAAGGCGACCCCTGATCGGCTGCATGCGAGGCTCGCGCACGTCGGCGTCGACACGATGAAGAGCTCGGCAAAGCATGGAGTTGCTGTTGGGCTCGACATCACGCCGTCGACCGGAGCAGACCCGCCGTGTGTCTCGTGCGTCGGAGGAAAGCTGGCGTGGCACACCTTCCCCGCCAAGGGCTCGGACGCAGCGGAGGCGCTGGCTGTCATGCACATTGACTTGTGCGGGCCATTTCGGGTGGCTGCCAAGGATGGCAGCTTGTACTTCCTACTGCTGAAGGATCGCCATACTCGATTCGTGTGGGCAATGCCGGTCGCTAAGAAGAGCGATGTGCTGCGGGAGTTCGAGAAGTGGCTAGTGCTTGTGGAACGACAGACGAAGAAGTCGCTCCTGTCGCTTCGCTCCGATCGAGGAGGGGAATTCCTCGGGAAGGCGTTCACCGACTTCGTCGACGGGAAGGGCATCGTCCACGACCTGACGTGCCCCTACACTCCGCAGCAGAATGGCATGGCTGAGCGGGAGATGCGCACGGTCGTCGAGTCCGTGCGGACGATGCTGCTGCACATGGGCGTGCAGCATCACTGGTGGCACCTTGCTCTACGACAAGCGGTCTGGGTGCGCAACTGCTTGGAGCGGTCGACGACGCCGCCGGGAACGACTCCGTACCAGCTGCTGACCGGGCAGAGGCCCGACCTTGCGCTAGCGCGGGTGTGGGGCTGCATGGTGCAGTTCATGGTTCCCGAGCAGCAGCGCGGTGGGAAGCTGGCGCCGAAGGCTTGTTGGGGGCTTCACCTGGGTGTGTCGCCGGAGAGCAAGGGCTGGGAGGTGCTCGACCTGACCGACAACAAGGTGGTCACGTCGGTCGAGGTGATCTTCTACGAGACGCTGTCGCTGGAGGTGTGGAAGGCGAAGTATGGGCCGGCGTCGGAGCGGCCGCAGGCGCACCCGCCGACGGC